ATCGAAGTTCCAGTTATTAAAATATCAAATCCTATTATTATAACCAGAAATTCTGTTTGGTTCCGCCAAAATTCATTCAATTCAATATCATATACATATATCTTGTTGGTACAATCAAATCATTTTTCTATGTCAGTGTAATTATACATTTATTTTATTATAATACAGTAATAAATAAATAATAAATTTTTAATGTAAGTCGTTTCGAAGTATGTACATATATATGTAAATCGCATGATGTTAATTAAGTGACGCTATAGAGTGTCACCATCGGAGAGCCGGGAAAGTAGAAGAATCGCATGGGCGGCATGGGAGAAGCGAGTCACCGGCGCGTGACCGTGCATGACGTAATTCGAAGTCACGAGAGGGTCACGCGAGAAGATGGTGTCAGTAACCGGCGCGGCGGTGCGCGCGGGCGATTCGTTTGGCGGCTCGATTAATCACGCCGCTGAGCCGCGCCGACATAGTTAATTAATTAATTAATCGCGCCCGATGATCTCGTGACGCGCGCTCGCGTGGGACCACGGGGGCTTCCCGCTCTCTCGCCGAGGAATGCTGTAAAAGGGCGCCACCAGTCGGGTGAACCGGTCGGGTTCACGCTGCGAGCCTTTTCGGTGCCGGCCGCGGCGTGGGTGGGCCCAAAAGCTGGTAGGCTGGGCCTGCCTCTGCCTCGAATCTGCATCGCAATCCGGTTTTTGCAAAGCGACCGACGACGCCGACGGCGAAACAATTTCTACGACGCGGACGCTTCGAATTGGACGCTGCGCTCGGCTTTCGCATCTCGCAGACATTTCCCTTCGGGAAATCCGGGGGAAATCTTCGGTGTAAAAATGACCTTGAACTTCTCGAAAAAGTAAACGCGCTAATCATAGAGCAACATTAAAAACGAGGATTTCCTTCCGCATTCGAGTAACCACGAATGATAAATGATTTATTTATTGGAAATATTTTTCGTGAATATTTTTTATGCGATTATTGTATTATACATGTATAATGCATTATTCCGTATTCGGATACGCGCGGCGCGTCCGAATTTCGAATCGCGTTAAATTATTCAAGCCAGGGCTTTCAAATTTTCCTCGAAACGCGCTCTGTAAATGGATGGGTCAAGCATTCTGGCCACTGAATGCAATCGTCGAATCGTCGGCGGTCTCTTTCCCGCGATTGCACGACCGCGAATCCGCACGTGTCGCAGCCGCACATGTCGAGCGAATGCTCGATTGCCATCGCCGGCGTTATTTCGTGCTCGGTGAAGTCGGAAATGATCGGGACCGGTCGCGGGTGTGAGTTTTTAACACCTGCCGAGGTCCAAGTTCGATAAGCGTCGTTCGGCGGCAAACGGATGGAAAAAAAAAACACGAGAGAAACGAGACCGCGTAATGCATCGAAATTGTCGGGCGGAGTTAAACCGCGCGACGGGATCGCATCTCCCGTGCGAATTGCATGCGTTTCACACGTTTTCAGCATCTTGCGCCTGGCATCTGAAAGTAAAGAACGCGCTCTATTTCCACCGGATGTACGTTACTTCGCTCGCAACCAGGCAAACGAAAGTTTTTATTTCCTGTCGTTCCCGGAGCGACGCGAGCGACAGTGAAAGGCGCATTTTCGTGCGATTTTACTGCCGCGAACGGATGCGGATAAATAAAAGAGAAAATAGAGACAAATACATAGGGCAGTATTGTATCACGCGATAATAAAAGCTGCAGGAAAATAATCGATATCTGAAAACTCGAATATCGGGCGAGTATATATATCGGGATTATTTTAGGCTCCGAAGATCTTTTTTTCACGGGAGAAGTTTTGATGCGTTACGAGAGTGTTACGGCGTAAAACGGTCGTCGATATATCGATTCGTGAGAGGTGGGCTCGAACCGGAGATGATCTGCGGTGGTCGGCTTTTCGACGAGTTTCACCACTCGGGGCGAATTCGGGGAGACGGTTTTTTTTAATTTTTTTGTTTACGACGAGCACGATAGGTATAGAAAACGTGAGGTGCATTTCAAAGCGCAATACGCGAGCGTGTCCCCTTTCGTGCCGCGAGACGCGTATCCGTTATTATCGGATGATAGTAATTTACGAGAGCGTAAAAGGATCCGGCTGTGGGCCGCGGCGGAACGCCGGTGAATAGCCATTAGCGCCCCGATGTTTTCCCCGAGAAACAAAGACCATTTCCGCTCTCGATTTACGCGCGAGGCAGCTCGTTATCGCGCGGCGGGCTAGCTACATACTGCATACACTGCGACGGACTTGTAATTGCCTCGATCTAGCTTTGCTGTAACACGAAGGCGAAGGGTGTCGATTCTGCGAGGGATTAAGTCTTCCGAAGGCGAAGACTTAATCCTTCGCGAATTCCATGTCGAAGTCCGACGTCTCGTTTGTGACGCGATAATCTTGCAAATTTTTTGCCTGAAGCGAGAGAGAGAGAGAGAGAGAGAGAGAGAGAGGCAGTTTCAGAGAGAAAGAGAAAGAGATAGCAGGACATGTGTAGTACAAACGGAATTTATCAGATGCGCTCTTCCGAGCGGATTAATCGCGTCACGATCGATTTCGATCTCCTGGGGAAGATCTCATTGCATGCAGGCGAACGTGTCTGACATTCTCGTGTTTTGCGAATATATTTATTAAAACCGCGCTCGCGTTTATGTTCGCATAACTGGTCGTAACGCACTTTAAAACTCGTATCGGGCTACGCATTCGTGAAGATCGAGAATTGCGAATTGGAGAGATTGGAATTTAACCAATCGGAACGAAAGGGATTAAAATTAAACTTGTTTGATTGGTCGAATTCTCATCTTCAATTTATAAACCTCAATCTCCTATGCGTAGTCTGAGGTTTAGACGATTCACAATCCGTCGCTCGCGCTGCGTACAAATTTGCTGTCCACCGACGGTGGACCTGACGTTGCGAATTATATTCCCGTTCGTCAAACGTCGGGATATTTCAATAACCAGCTTGGCTTTGCAGTTTACGCGTCAGAGGGATCAAAGGGAATACTTTTCCTTTTGCACTCATCGACTGGATTTCCGTTTAATATTCGCGTAATCCTATGTAGAGCCACGACCGGCCTCCATTAACGCGCAACACCGGCTATTCACGGTGACAGCGCAATTTTACGCGTGAAAATTTTCCAATCTTGCTCCGATTAGCGATCGCTTCCGATTTCACGTTGCGCAAGCGAACGCGTTGTACAAACTTCCGTCACAGCGCGTGTAACAGGGCTAAATATTGTTTTAATAATATTCGATCGCGCGGCCAAAGCGCACGGATTATGCCAAGCGCGATGAAAAAGCGTTTCGAATAATTTTCGCTGGCGTTAACATAAGCGTCATAAGCATTCCACTATTCCGATCTCAATAGCGGAAATATTGCCGCAATAATATATGTATAATGGAGAATTATTCTGAAAATTTGCACGAATCTAGGTGAGTGCATTCCGTGATTCATCGTCGAGCCGAGCGATTCCGCAGAAATTTTCCCGTGTTCTCTCGACCGCGCCGGCACGTTCTCGCTCAAGTAAGGATCGGACCCATCGAAAGAGCCGGGTCGCATTTGCACGATTCGAACGGCGGCCCGTACTTTCACTCGATCGCTCTTGTCCCGTACCCCGTCGGCACGGCGGGCCCTCGCCGCGCCGCCGTGAACGCGAAGAGGAGAACGTCCGAGACGGCGGAGCGGCGCGGCGCGAGAGGGGAAAGGGGAGACTCCGGGCAGAAGGAGAAACGCGAGAAGAGGAAGCACACACGTACGCACGCACGTACGCGCGTACGCATACGTACGAACGAACGAAACGAAGCGAGTGGGCGCTCGCGAGTCCGGGGAGAGAGGTTTAGTGACCTCGGCGTGTCGCCGTCGTCCTAAGGAGAAGCAGAAGGAGTAGGACGACGACGACCACGACGACGACCACGACGACGAGCACCAGCACGGGTACGAGCACGGGCGCAAGCACGACGACGCCGAGGCGCAACGAGACGACGAGGAGTGGCCGAGAAGAAGAAGAGCAAATTGGTGCTCCCGGTAGCAGGGGCTCATGAGCACCGTGGAGGAAACGTTGCGCAACGTGTCGAGGCGCAGCAGGCACGGCACGCGCGGCACCGGCAGCTCGGCCGGCGCCGATTGGTCCGCGTCGGCCGCACGGGGCCCGGCCCAGCCGATCCCCGTCGCTGCGCCGGCCACCACGTCCACCGCCTTCGCCAGGCCCCAGGACATCACGGGCCCGACCAGGCGCCAGTCCTCGCGCGACAGCGTCGACTCCGCCGGCCAGCACACCCCACCTGATCTTCACGCGGACCTTCTCTTCAAGGTCTCCTACCTTGCCTCCTGATACCCGCTTCCTTCGCGCTCGCTCGCTCGCTAGCGCTCGCTCATCTCTCGCGCAACAATACGCCGCGTATTTGTTGCTTCTCTTGTTTCTCTCGCTCAAGCGCGATCAACTCTTCGGACGTAATCGCTTCTTACTTTTCACGTGTAAATGCAATCTTATTTATTCATTTTAATTTAATTTATTTTATTCTTAATGAAAATTATGATAAACTTTTAAATTTAGATAATCAGTCATGTTATCTGTTTTTTACTTCTTCTGTGGAATATTAGTTCAAATTAGGAATTAGGATTTGAAATCAGCATTACGCGAACGGATGAGCGAGCTGGAATAAGAATGAAACGATTACTTGAACAATCGTTGCTCGATGCAGGTGATGTTGCTCGGTGACAGCGGCGTTGGGAAAACCTGTCTCCTCACGCGTTTCCGCGACGGCCGGTTCCTGTCGGGAAACTACATAACGACTGTCGGCATTGACTTTAGGGTGAGACTCTAGGGTTATTTCACCTCCGTACTTACATATGCGATTAACAAAAAATGCCGATGAACTTACAAATGATTCTCTAAGAACATAAAGTGCATGTTGTTCACATTGGACGACGGTATCTTCATGATTTATAAAGATTTATGATCCTCGTGAGGCTACAGAAATTCAAAGAAGTGCCTTTCCTGCCTTTGCAGAACAAAGTTGTCACCGTCGACGACACGCCGATCAAGCTGCAGATATGGGACACAGCCGGCCAGGAGAGGTTCCGAAGCGTGACGCACGCTTACTACCGAGACGCACATGGTAAACTCTTTTCTTTCACGTCACGAATCTGTCTTGCTCCAATAAGAATCGAAACGATATTCGCTCAGGACAAATTAATAAATATATCGAAATTGAAATCAGTACAAAAATTAATGGAATTAAATTTTTAAATACATCTTGTTGCTGATATTGCAGTGCAAGTATCACGAATTATGCTCGAAATTTGACTGTTTTCGAATATATGTATAAAATATGTGTATATATATCCCGATTAACGCATTTTGAGATAAATTAAATCAACGCGACGATATTTTTAATAAGAGCACGTTTATCACAGCGTCATCAATAAATACGAGAGCGGTGACAAAAATTTTCCATGTATTTTGCAATATCTCGTAACAGTTTAATTATCGCGTTGCAAACGCCGCCACGGTTTCGAAGCCGTGCATATACGTATGTTTTATTAGCTTTGCGTTTTACAGCGGAAAATGATGGGAAACATCTCTCCCGGCGAGAAATGTGACGCGTTTTGAAACGTCGGGTATTTAATGCGCGTTTGATTTAATCGAAAAGTTTTCTTCTTAAAGCAATTACGAAATACGAAGTTTTATTTGATTATTGTTATTGATTGTCTTGCGCAAGGAGTTCAGATTCTTCTCTGAACTTTTCTTAATCTTTAGAGAACAGGATGGTTTTCGGTTTCTACAGTTTTCAATTTAAAACTTTGATATATATATATCATACAGTAATGAGCTATGAAATAAACGCTAAGATCGCTCCAGAGTCGATATATCGGCTTCCCTTTTGGAAAAAAAACGATAAAAAGTTTTTTGTCTTCAAACTCTGTTGTTGAAATATTTTATTAGAATAATTATTTTCACATCTTTTAATGGAATATATGATATAGAAATATATGAAAATTTTTAAGATGGAGGGACAAGAAATACCGATTATATCAATACATGTCAGTAGACTGATAATATATATACAATGAAATATCAACCAAATAAATATGTATCAATAAAATTATTATCTCAAACATTAAAATAAAATAAATAGCACTAATCACGTTAAATTCACTTGGATTAAAAACCGATAAATCGGCTTCCCGTCCTCCAGAGGTTAATTTGCAAATTCATTCGACCGATTTAAAATTTACTTTTCCATAATGAGAAAATGGTGATTGGCTGTATGTTTTCTGTATGCTTTCTGTAATAAATTTTCAACAATTCAAATATTGTTAATTTTATATGCAATTAATTAATATTGCAATTAATTTTCGGATATTCTTTAAAAATGTTAATATGTACGAAGGACACGTGTGAAAATAGATGAAGGATATAATTTTGTGCTTTAGAATTCGAGTTTTTTAATCTTTCTTTTTGTTTTAAGAACTATCTATACTATATTTATCAAATTGGTCTTAGGATTGGGAATTTGAGATTTCTTGCGCATCTAACGAACTTTCCGATATGCAGCATAGAACAACAACATTACATCGGTGCGTCTCCGGGGAAATCTTAATTGTTCGTCCCGACTTGATTGTTCACACTCGAATGCGAGAACGCGGTCCGTTTTCGGGCTTGGAATGATCAAACGTTACCACCGTCACTCGCGGCAAACTCGACTTTACAATGCATGAACCATTTGTAACTTCCTAACCCGAGCCCTAGCCGCTGCTCCCGATTTTGTTACTCCGCCAATTTTGGCCAGGTGCCAGACTCAATTCTCATGATGTATGGATAGCGGGAAAGCAATACGGAGAGGTTGCCTGAAAGGGGAACCTCATTGTTTATTCGTGAGTTCTGAAGTTGTTGCGACAATAATGCTGCGTTGTGTCTCAACTTCGGAAGTAATCATTCCAGTCGAGTGAATTCAACAATAATTAAATACATCACACCCATTTAGAAGATTAGATAGCGACCATTGAGATCACACGGAATCGAGGGAAGTTCAGGATGGAAATGCGAATTGATTTTATAATTCGCGCAAGGCGTTTTAATTACAATGTAAATGTAAAATAATTAAATAGCCATGCTGTAAAGAAATTTAAATGTAACATAATAATATTCATTTCAGAATAATGTCTAAAAGTGAGAGAAAATTGTGTATTCACAGATTATAATTTTTTGCACTCTTTCTAAACTCGATTATTTTAATATATTTTCACACATATACACATATAAACGATGCCTTTACTTATACTTCATAAAAAGTTTCTGACCGTCGCGCGACGTAAAGTCGATTAAGTAGTCGATAAAAAAAAAGACAATTCACACGACCGCGTGTTCCAGCGCTTCTGCTGCTGTACGACGTGACGAATAAGACGAGTTACGACAACATCAGGGCTTGGCTAAGCGAAATCCGGGAACACGCGAACGAGGATGTCGTCATCATGCTGCTGGGTAAGTCGCGTTTTATATTTATGGTTACCGTGCCGAGACGATAGATCTGCCCACTTGGGGATCCTCGCGCTCAAAACGGGGACTTGAATCTCCGGGAGGCTGAACGCCAGAAATAAGGGCTGCGATAATGGTTTAGCGCGGGAGATAAGAGCTCGGGAAAGCGATCTGGATGACCCAGATTTGATTTCATCGGTCAAATTGTCCCAAAGCGCTGATATACATCCAGCTATCGGATCCGATTTAAATCAACGATTCAGAACTAACAATCCAGGTAGTGCGGGAAGTCGATCGAGTTCAACTCGCAGCGTTTCCGCTTGATGCAATTTGGGCCGCTTTGGAAAGCAATTAAGACCAATCTTCCGCGAGCCCGCGCGTTCGGCTAGAAAATGCATTTGATACGAGTGTAAAGAGAATATAAATATTTTCGACCTCCCGCAATTTTTTTTTACGTGTAATTTTTCAGCTTTTAATTCGGAATCCAATTTCGATCTGAATGTACCTCGCGCGCACTATCTCGGTTCACATAAATTGACCTTAATTGCTCACGGGCAGTCCAGATCGCGGCGACCGAGAACGCTTTATTAGTTCCGTCATGGAAAAGCTGGATATTTTGTGATAATTCATCTTCTCGTCGATGTATTAAACCGTAGGTAACAAGTCCGACTGCGGGACGGAGCGTGCCGTTAAGCGGGAAGACGGCGAGCGATTAGCGCAGGAGTACAAAGTGCCGTTCATGGAAACGTCTGCCAAGACTGGCCTCAATGTCGAATTGGCGTTTCTCGCCGTTGCTCGGTACGGTTTCGATAAAAAGCGACATAGAAATAAGATATAGTAACGTCAACGCACGATGCTTGAAACTGCACTGATTTGTAGATGTCGATTTCACGTCGATTTCTCTATTGATTAACTCCAATCTTTAGCTGTTTCCTCCGAAACTGAAAATCTTTTAAGAGTTAGATAAAAGATGGATGATGAGCTAAAATGAAAGTTTTTCTTAGAAAGTGCTTCGTATACTTATGAAAGGAAGACCAGGGGAGGCCGGAAAAATCGATAGAACTAAACGATTGATTTCAGGGAGCTGAAGGCTAGAAAAAGCGACGGCTCTGACGGGACGAAATTCAACGTTCAGGACTACGTGCGTCAGCAGTCGCAGCGAAGCTCCTGCTTCAACTCCAGCTGCCTCACAACCTGAACTGCTTTTCATTTTTTTTTTTTACGTTAAATTAAGAGAATACGCGAACTGGAATCGCCGTTGGTCGCCGAGCAGATACGGCGCGAAATTGCCATCGCGCGCGAGCCAGGCGTTCATTTGATTTCCACGCGAGAGAATATCGGAGTGTAACATTCGTTGCGGGACGGGCGTATAAATTTTATACTCGATTCATAGAGCAACTTTGCGAATAAACCACAACGCAGAGCAGATCGATCTGAGTTCATCGGGGTGAATCGGAACCACAGCACGCACACGAGTGATATATTAGAATTTTCGGGAAACCTGACTAACCCGAGGCGTTATTTCGTTCAACGAAAAGTCATAGATGTTAGCGCAAACCGCGCGTACACGTGATATCGAAGGAGTACGAAATTTTTTTTTAAAGAATCTTAAAAGAATCAAGGTCAAAGATTTGAATTTTTTTTAGCGTTATAGCGCCAGGGGGAGCGCGGAGATTCTCGTTAAACGTAAGCTAACATGTGTCAATGGTTATTCGCACACGCTGTATATTAATGTGAATAGTTCTAAGAGGATAGAAAGAGAGTTTCACACGCAGGACACCCCCGTAGGTAAGGCTTTAGCTTGATGGTTCTAATTTCGTGTACGCCACATCCGCGTACATATGCATATAATATATATATATATATATA